CAAACTTTAATAAATATAAATATATATATATATATAAATATAGTTTTACCTAAAATAACATGCTTTAATAATAAATTATTGCTCATATACAAAAATATAGTTTTATCTGAAATATTATGTTCTAATAACAGATAATTGTACACATATATAAAAAAAAGTTTTATCTGAAATAGTATGATTTAATAACAGATTATTGTACACATAAATAAATATGTAATTTTATCTGAAATAACATGGTTTAATAACTGATTATAACAGCTAAATAAAAGTATGCTCTAAGCTTAATTATTTTCAAAATATTTAAAGAAAAACACATTTAAATTTTAACAATCAATAATAACAAAAAATTTCAAAATAAACATACCTCTGTGTCATACATAATAAAATCAGGAGGTAATGTTATAGAAGTAATATTAGTTACAATAAATCCAATTATAATACTGTTTAATGCCAAGCCAATAATAAACCAGATAATTGAAATTAATTTTGCCATCAAAGATCGAGGAGTCAAATCTCCATACCTATTTAAAAAAGCAGTTAATATATATTTTCACCTCATTTTTTTTTACTCTTTTTTAATCTTTTTTCAATTATTGAAGAAGCGATTACTTTTGGGAAAAAATCTACTTATTATTTAAAGTACTAAATACTAAAGTTTACAATTATGCTCAGTAACAGGCTAATATCCTATTATCTAAAAATATCACATAGCCCATCATCTAAAGATATTAAAATGATCTAAAACATCATTTAATTTTGTACAATTAAGTTCCCACTAATCCCACTCTCATGCATTAAAACTTTGAGACTAAATGTCTCAGAGTTTAAAGTAAAATGTCTCAGAATTTAAAATAAAAACAAAAGTTTTAGCTTAAACTAAAAAACACATTTGTAGTGATTTAATCCCAAAAATATAAAACTGTTAACAACATGGATTTAGTCAACTATTATGTTTAAACCTTCTGGTAAGCATGATAGCAGCATGCATCCCTCCTAATTATTGTTATTAAGTACATTAATTGTGAAATAAAGCAGTCATTTAAACTTTTTTAACAACTGTGTTGGTTTTTATTGGGATTCATAACTAGAATAAATGAATTGAAAAAGGGTAAGCACCTTTTTTAATCAATTGTATTAAATAAACAAACATAATGCTTCATTTTCCACAACTGTACATATCTGATGTGTATTTTCATCAACTGTACATCAACTGATGTGCATCATTTATTTTTCGCAACTAATGATAAACTTACATGAAACATGCCAAATTGTTAAAATGTAAACTATTAACAAACTTAGTGACTGTATAAACTACTAACTTTAGTATTTAAGTAGTTTTCATCATGTTTTATTTTTAACTCTCTTGATTTTTATTAGAATCTATGTAAGTTTTTAAAAACTACTAAAATAAAGTCTTTAAAACTTCTTTTGGCTTTGTTAAATGCTACTTATTACAAAAATTCGGCAACATTTTCAGTGAATATCTATAACAATGCAAATAGCATTTTTTAAATAATATGATATAAAAATAATATTACAATTCTAAACTGTAGGCTTACAGAGTTATAATAATATTTTTATTAGGCTGTAGACCCTACAGTCTACTAAACATATATAATAAAGATGCTTTTAATCATAGTTACAACTCTATATTAAAAAAATTATTTAGCTTAAATTTAATGTTTTTTAACAAGCCTCTAAAGGTTCTTAGAAATAAGTAATTAAAGATTTTTTTTTTTAATTATTTGAAAATAAAAAACAAATTATAAAAAACAGGCAAGCATACCCAATTGTTGTCATAGTAACAAATGAAAACCAAAAACCAATTATAGGTCCTTTCCAAGCATTTCCAATAATAAATTGTTCTGGATTAATAAACTGATCCTTAAAAAGACATTTTGTAACAGTAAAACACAATAAGAAATAAAATGAGTTGAAAAAAAAATGTTTTCTTATAAAAAAGTTAAAACCAAAAATTAAATTTGCTTTTTTCATTAGAAACATGTTTTAAAGAAAAACTTTTTTCTTTCAATTTTTTAATATTTTTCCTTTTTTTTAAATATACCTCTAATCAAGGCTGCAGTCTAATTTTTGTCAACTTAGGAGTTGATAGAAAAAAAAAAGGAGACAATAAAAAAAAAGCTTGAAAATGAGAAAGCTGTAAAAAATGCAATTCAAGAAAACAACTCATATGCACAAAAACTTAAGTTGTGTACATAAAAAACTAAAGTATGAAAAGGTTGTCCTGTATTGAAGTACAATAACTGTAAAAAATTATTACAGTATCTGCTTCACTACACAGCAGTATGTTTAAAAAGATTCATTTTTACAATATATAGACAAAAAATTAATATTAGGAATAGTTATAGTTTAAACACAATCTTACAGTAAACCAAACTAATATTCCAAAGAGTGAAGCAATCAAACAGGTGATCAACAAAAATGACCATACACTGAGGACATTTAAAATCATTTTCAAAAAAATGACATCAGCATTACTCTCATCACGTTGCACAGCTGCAATTCCTGGTGATTGTATTAAAAGCATAAAGGAGGTGTTAGTTGCAACTTCATAACCATTTCTTCCATATATTGGAAAACTTATATCAATATCATTGCTAATGGATAATTTTAAATCAAACTCTGAATTTTTAACAGGATTACCTCCAAACTTTGTTCTATCAAAGTAAAGTTTAGAAAGTTTACTTGAGTAGCCATTACAAGTACCACATGACTGAACAACCATGTCTTTAAGTAAATCCACAAAATCACCAGAAGCCTTATTTGCATCAAGGAATACAAATGGATCCTTGATAAAGGAGTTAGCAAATAAAACTTCTTTGCATTTGCATGTTCCTATGAAAATAAATAAACAATTTAGTTTTTAAAAAATGGTTGACAAAGAACATTTAGCTATAAATCATTTGGTTAAAAATCACAACAATAATCAATTTGAAATAAATATATTTATAATTTTTGTTTAATGTATTAATACCCTTTGAATAAACATTCTAATGTTTTTTTATACAAAATATCTAATAGAAAGTCATCTGCAAGTGTTATTCATTTAATGATGCTCTTGACGGATACAGTAGGCAAAAAAATAATTGGCACAAGCAAAATTTTAAAACCTTTAAACTTATTTGTTACTCATATTTTCTAAAAACTATAAAAAATATAAGTGTACATCAATATGTGCATTGTATTTATATCAAGGACATCAAGGTATTTACAAGGTATTATGTACATCAAGGACATCAAGGTATTTACATCAAGGAGTGCTCCTATTATTACTTTTATATTTGTCTATGATTGAGGTCCATATTTTACTTTTACCAAAAGGTTTTTGTTTTAAAAAATATTAAAAGCACGCAAGCATTTTTTTAATACAAAACATTTCAACAATTTTATTTGAAATTTTTTAATTGGTTTGTGGAAAAAAAGGAAAATTTTTGGTATGTTTATGCTTAAAACTACTTTTTCTAAAATTAAATATGTAAGACATGAGATATATACATATGTAATACATAAGGTATTGATTAATTAAATAAAAGTGATTAATTCATAGCAACATGCATGTTGTAAAACAAGAATGGACAATTTCTCAACAAATATTGGTTGTGGATTTGGTAAATAGTGGTAAGACCTACAAAGAAGATATTAGGCAGATTGGAATTCCTTTTCAAACAGTAGGCAACATTATAAAAAAACATAATTTGAATAGAAATACAACAGATATTGCAAGAAGAGGCCATTAAAGAAAAAACATCTGCATCATTAATCAAAACATTATTTTACAATCAAAACAGATTTGAAGCTGCTCAAAAGTTTGCAGACAAAGTTCAAAACACAAAATCATACTCAAACTAATCAAAATAGAACTTGAGAGCAAGGATTTCTTGGTAGAGTATTTCACAAGAAAACGTTTTTTTTCCCCCTCAACATCTTCACTTCCAACAAGGCTGCAAGCAACCACTTTTAAAGTTGGAAGTTGCTGAAAGAGAAAAGAATAAATGAATGAATAAGAAAAATGAAGTTTAGAGAGCATGATAACAATTAGCAGACAATTTAAAAGTTTGCAAATATATAATTTCAGAAATATATAGATTCAGGAAAACGAGAAAAAGGAAGCAAATTAAGCAGATGTGAGATCCTTATCAAGCTCTAATGCCTTCTGCAAGCAATCAGAGAATGTTGGTTACTTATCAAGACAAGAATAAATGGTAGTGTCATCAGCAGCAGTATAGTATAGGGCCAAGGATCAAACCTTGAGGAACTCCTGAAGTTACAGGATATAAAGAAGAGTGTTGTCCATAGAGGACAAGTTTTATACAATGATTGGAAAGGAAAGATTCAATTATCTTAAAGATGTTACCTGATACACCGTAAAAAGAGATTTCCTATTTTGAAAATAGGAATAACAGATGCTGCTTTCCAGCAGACTGGAAAACAAGATTCTGATAAGCACTTGTTAAGTAGTTTTGAAAGTATAGATGACAGCTCAGGAGAACACTTCTGCAAGACTACAACAGGTATGTTGCCTGGGCCACAAGCTGTAGAAGAGTATAAGCAGGAAATCACTTTAGATACAGAAGATAGAGTGACACAAAGGTCAGGCAATGGATTAACCTGTTTGTTGGCTATATCAAGCAAAGATACTGATGGAAAGTTCTTAAATAAACAATTCAGTTTTTTCTTTAGATGAAGTAACAAAATCTGAATCATACAAGAGAAGGGGAATAACAGATCTCTCCAGAAGTCACAAAAGTCTAATTTTTTAAATCGAAAATTTTAGCAGCACATTGAGAGAAAAACCATGAAGAAGAGTAAGGCTTGAATTGTGAAGAGGGAATAAAGGATTCAATGCCAGCCTGAGTCCAAGAAGTTACATGAGAAACATATTTGTCAGCAGTAAGACAAAAGATTTCTACCCAAAGACCATCACAAAGAAAATCACGGAAAGAGTTCTAGTCAGCTTTTAGGCAGTTGTAAGAGGGCGGATTCTGATGATGGAAATAAATGAGATAATAGTTATATCAGAAAGATTAGAAACAAGATGAATAGAGAAGGCAAATGATTCGGGTTGTCTGGAAAGTGAGTTGGAAAGTTGACTATTTGTGTTAGAGATTGAGAAATGACACCAGAGCCAAGCCATTTAGTGTGATGAGTCACCAACAACAATGATAATGGCTGAAATATAAAAAGAAAGGGCTTGGTCAATTTGATCAGAAATAACAAAAAGAACGCAGTCTTGAGAAAAAGGATAGCAATATAAAACAAAGAGAAAGGCAACAGAGTGAAGTGGGCCTAAACGAAAGCACATAAAGGTCTGTGAATTTAAACCTAGTTTTTCAACAAATGGGTGAATTTTTATGAAAGTAGATGCCCAGGCCAAGCATGTGACTATTGGAGTTTTTACATGATAAAAGAAGATAATCACACTAAGATCACAAGATAAGACAGCTAAAACCAAATTAGTCTCACAAAGAGCAGGTAGGTTTAGTGAACTTTGCAAGAGATAATACTCAACAGAAGAAAAGTTACATAAGTTATAGAATTAGAGAACTTGGTGATGACATTGATTTTTTGTTTTTTAATTTATTCTAATTGATTATAAGACATATGAAAATTGGATTGGCAGCAAAAGATCTGGCGTAAATATAGTGAGGCATGCAAATTAATTTGCACAAGAAGAATAGTAAAACATGGTGGTGGAAATTTTATGGTGTAGATATAAATGCTTTTGGCCAAGAGCTGTCAAATTGACTTTCATTGAATCACTTATGAAAGCCAATTCACATATAGATACTATAAAGCAAAATTTAAAAGCCCTCTGTTTGTAAATTTAGATTTGCAAATAATTTTGTATTTCAACAGGACAATGACCCAAAATATACTGCCATAACAATTTTGTTGTTATGGCAGTATGTTTTGGGTCATTTTTAGTATGTTTTGGGTCATTGTCAATATGTTTTCAAATAGTTGATAAATTTCAAAAAATTAATAATTTTTTCCCTTTAAAATAAAAACTAAAATTTTTTAATCATTTTTTACAAATTAAAAAAAAATATACTTTTGCTATTTTTTTTTATGCCTACAGTAGTTTTCAGTAGTTTTCAGTAGTTACAGTAGTTTAGTACAGTAGTTACAGAAAAAATAAATAAAAAAAATAAAAAAATAAAAATAAATCAATATATATAAATCAGCAAAAATAGAGATTAAAAATAATAAAGTTAAAAATACTTTTCACAAAAATATATTGTTTAAAAATAATAAAGTTAAAAATACATTTCACAACAGAAAATAATTTTATGTGTTAAGTTAAACTAAATTTTATTAATTTAAATGTTTTTTTATAAAATACTTTATATGATATTTTTGAAAACATAAATTTAAAATCAGATGCATATATTAGGTGATTTCAACACATATAGTTATTTTAAGGTTTCATTATAAAATTTAATACAAAAAATGAAATAAAAAATTAAAGAGAAGAAATGCTTAACATAACATCTAAGTTGCAAATAACAATTTTTTTTTTAATACTAAAATTATATTAAAATTTATATTTATGCTATGAATTATTTAATATCATATTTAGGGATGTTCAGACAAACAAAAGCCCAGGATTTTGTTTGCCAGATCATTGGCTTTGGGAAATTATTTTTCAGTTATTAAAATTGCTAAAGCTTGATTTTCATTAATTGTAAAAATATTGTAGAACAGATGTGCAATTTTGTTGTAGTATTCCAACAATTTTGGAATGAATTGTTTCTATTTTCACAACAAATGTTTTACGACAAAATTTTTTATAAGACCAACATTAAGTTGCATAACTTACATTTATTCTTATTATTTCCATAATAGAACAAATTTGTTGTGGAATTGAACAGAATTTGTACAACAACTATTAAAAACACTAAGCGTAAGTAACTACTATTTAATAAATTTAAATAACGTTTTAGGCTTGATAGCTTAAAGAGATTAAATGCAATATTTATTATTCTGAGTAGAAAATAATGGGGGTCAACGGTCAATGACTGTTTGAAATAAAAAATTGCTAGTTGGACCTCAAAAAATGAATTCCTGTCAGTCAAGGTTGACCATATAAAAAAAAAACATAAAACATGGAAAATAGGGTTTTATAAAACATAATGCAGTTATTAAATGTAATGTGTTACTAAATATTATGTGATAATATGGAAACTGAGGTTTTATAAAGTATAAAAATAAATTATATAAAAAATATGGTTTTAAAATAAACAGGATGTATTTTGAAAAAACATTTTTTAAATTCTTTAAGGACAAAATGTTGAGTATGTGTACTATTTGTTAAAAAATAATAATAGAGTTGGGTACACAAAATAGCAAACTTTAGCTGCATGAATATAAAAGTTTGAGCTTCAGCTGAAGATTTGGCTTGAAAAAAGTGATTGGCTTTGGCAAATTCTTGGTATTGATACACACTAATCATAATAACTTTTTTTATACTTAACTTACATTACAACTTTTGTTATAAAATATTTGATCATAACAATTTGTTGCAAATAAATGTTTAATAAAATAAATCATTAAAATGCATAATAAAAAGAATAAAAAAACCTTACTAGCTTGGTACTCATAGGCAGGACTGCTACCAGCAGAAGTAAAACCAGCAATACTAAAATTGTATATAGCATAATTTAAAAGATTTGTTTGCTTATGATAACGTGTGAATGGATCAAATACTATTGTATATTTTAGTCTTTCTCCAAAAATTTCCTCTCCAGATCTATAACTTATGTAGTAGGTAAGACGATAACCAAGCAAAATTCCATTAACATTCTCAGTCGGGATTGAATCCCACAAAATGGACCACCAATCAGATGATTGCATGTCATTTACCTGAATATTTGGAACTGGAACAGATGGAGCTAAATCAAGACAATTTAATATTTAATATTTTAACTTCTTACTATTAAAAACATTTTTTACTTATTATATGTTTTTATAAATAACATCTCACCATCTTCTAAAGTTTTACACATAGAGTAAATTGGTGAACCAGCGCCAAATAAGTTATAACCATAAACATCCACATAATACAGAGTAAAAGGTTTTAATGCTTTTAAGATGAATGCATTAAAACCATATTGTGCATCCACCTCTTTTAATGGATCACTTGACAAATAAACCTTATACCTAATTTTATAGCCAAGTATTTTACCATTGCTATATTGTTCTAAAGTATCTGTCCATTCAACATATATCTTAGTTGAACTCAACGCCGTTGTTGAAACATTTGCAGGGGGCCTTTCAGGGCCTTAAAGAAACAAAAAAAAAAACATGTAAAAAAAAAAAGCAATACAAGAGTAAAGAAAAAATTAAAATTAAACAAACATTCTGTAAATAATAATTGTAAAAAATTAATTAGTACAAAATGAGCCATTTTTCTAAATCAACCACAAAAAATTTTCTATTCATTTTTAAACTTGTCTTTTAAAATTACTTGTTTTATTAAAAAAAAAATTGATTTTTTTTTTAAATAATAATAATATTTTTTTTAAAGATAATAGTAGATGTGAAAATATGAAAGAAAAATATAAAAGATAATGTGATTTAAAAAAATAAAAATAACAATATAATTTAAGGCTGGGTTAATAAAATTGAAACTTTTTATTTCTTATATTTGCATTAGTAATTAATGTATTAGCATTTTAGTTGAAATATATATATATATATATATATATATATATATATATATATATATATATATATATATATATATATATATTATATATATACATATATATATATATATATATATATATTAAAATTTCTTATTATTCAAAATGGCAACAAAACAGTAACAAGTGCATCAAGTGGAAAATTCTAACTTGCTTCTCAAATTCAATGTAAAATGTAAGTATTTGACACCTTATACAATAAAAAGAAAGCCTGGAAGTGACAATAGTTTGAACATTAACAAAAAAATGAAAGCCAATGTTAGGGCAAACTCTTCCATTTCTGAGAGATTTGACACTAAAATGCAAAACTTGCAGACAAAAGGTCCAGACTATTGAGAAAAAAAAAAAAAAAAAATCAAAAGAATCAAAACCTAATGGCAAGAAGTTGAGCAGGAAAATTATACAAAATATTGTGTAGAAAAAAAAAATTAATTATAGATAATTAAACTTATGTGATATCAAATTTAAAAACGATGCAAAGACATCATTTTTAAATTTGAGTCTCCAGGAAAAAAGTAACAGCTAAACTTAAAACAATAAAGCTAAAGAAATTCCCAAAAATTATGGTTTGGCAAGTCATATGTTGAAAACACAAGGTTTTGTCACTAACTTCACTATAAATAGTGAAATTTACTAAAAAGAGTGCCTTGATATGCACTTAATGAACTGTGGAATGAACATAATAGTAATGCAATATTTTGCCCTAGCATTTTGTCATAATGTTCTCGCAAGGGTCTGGCCAGAATATTTAGCAACATTATCAATTAGTATTTGACATTTAATCAAATCTTCTCTTTCAAGATTTAATTAAATATTTTTTTGTAAATATTTTAACATCTAATATATATTTACCCAGGTCACTGATTCCCTGATAGTGTAACGCTGAAATAACGCTTATGTATTAATCATGCGGAAGTTATTTTATTTTTAAGCACATTAAAACCATATTGTGCATCCACCTCTTTTAATGGATCACTTGACAAATAAACCTTATACCTAATTTTAATAACTACTTAAAAAATATTATGCATCAAAACAAATTCATTTTATTTAAACTTTATTAGCCAATTGAGTTTTCAATATTGTGTGGTTAATAAATTACTCGGGTTAATAAATTATTCCGGGTTCAATTCCAAATGGAGTCCTATTTCGTTTTTTTTTTAAACATTTTCTTATCAAGTCCTTAATACAAAGGGAGGGGGCAGGGAATTTTAGTCTAGATATAATAAACACGGGCAAGGAGGGGGGTTTATTAAAAGCAGGAGTGGGAATTTTTTTATGATACAATAGAAGTATTTTTTATAAAAATATTTAGTTTATAAATCTGAAATAATATTTTTTACAAAATATGCTTAAAACTATTTAATTCTAGCGTGACTTGCAGTCAAATGCGCAATATCAATGACTAAAAGAAGCATTTTCTATTTTTTAAGGCCGATTTTTACTGATTTCTTTTCTTAGTTTTGAGATATAAAGTTTTTGTGGACAAAATTAAAAATTAATAAACGGGGGAGGGGATCTTAATAAATTTGGGGTGGGTGGGAAAATTTTTCAAAAATTAATAAATGCCCCTCCCCCTACATTTATTAGGAACTCAATAGTAATATAAGAAATTCTTTAATGAAATTTTTTAACTTTGAATTTTTTATCTTTAACATTTGTTTTAAGTGATTTAAATTTTTAATTTTAATTCTTTTTCTCTTATAAACACTCATTAGGTTTGCAAAATATATATAAGATTTATTAACCTTCACAGGCTTTAATTCACTTCTCAAAATAATTATCATTTACAAGTGTAAAAGGTTGCTAAAAATGGGCACAGGCGCCCATGAATTTTCTAGTGTTTTATTATTTATCAAAAAGTAAAGTTTTGTTAAAAATAATTTTTTTTTGGTTTTATGTTATTTTTTGTTAAATTGTAAATAAATATTATTGGAAAAATACATTTTCTAAAATAATATAATCTTTTTTGTTTGTATTTATACTTTTTTTAATTGTAAATAAATCTTAATTGTAAAGAAAAGTTTTTAAAACATGTAAAATAATTTAAAATAGTGAAGTTAAACATTTTAAATTAGGTTCTTAGGTATTTTCATTTTGAAGGACTATGTACATTGAATTATTTTTTTATTTTACTTGGTTAGTAAATTTAAACATAACCAGTTTTTATCATATTCTCTTTTTTTTTATTTAATAAAAAAAAAAATTACTTGCAACTGCAATTTGTAATAAAATACTCACAAAAAAACAATATATTACAGCTAAAAAATTCATTTTGCACAGCATCCAAATGCCACTATTCGATGACAACATCTGATGCTAACATTACGTGCTTTTAAGATGTAAGTTTGAAATAGCATCCTCATTATGTTCATTAGAAGGTCTATGAATGCCACAAGAGGAGAAGGTCTTTAAAGCAAAATTTTCTCTTTTTCTATTGTGACATCATATTTGTTCAACATCTTATCACTTTAATTGATGCATGTTGACTTCAAATAATTTTAGTTTTTTGTTATTTACACAGATTGTAATATGGGGTTGGATGTTGTTCAAAACAAATTTTTTAGCAGTAATAAAATGTTTTTTTTTTTGAATATTTTATATTGTAAAGTAAAAAAACAATTAAAAATAATTTTACTTGCTCCATATGTCTGAAGTACAAACACTCTACTTGGTAAGCCATTTCCATTTGATGATGCTGTTAATAAATAGGCATTATATACATGAAAAGGAGCAAGGCCAGACAAAATTAAACTTTGACTTCCAGAAGGCACACCTTTCCATTCCCAAATTGAGCTTGAATTAGTTACATCTTTATAATAAAGATATAACCATACTTCATTGTTACTGCAGCTGTCTCGTGACCATGATATCCGAATATTAAATTTATTATACACTGATGCATTAATATTATATGGTGGTGGACAAGGAACTAAAATGTTGGTAGCATAGATTAAACTCATTTTATCACATTATTTTATCAAATAATAAAATAAACACACACACAGACAACCAAGTGTTGTGTCTTGATAAAAAAAATGGTTTTAAAAAGTTTAGAACTTATTATTATTATTATTATTTAGAAATTATTATTACTAATAGAATTATTAGAATTATTAGTTTAGAATTATTCTTACTAAACTAATATAATGCAGACAAAAAAAATGTTTTATAGTACTTCCTAAAATTTTTTAAGTAATATTTGATGTTACCAAGTGATTTTGCAATGATAAATTGTCTTCATAAATAAGCAAAAATTATTTTGAAACATGCAACTATATAAAGTTTGTTTCAGAAAAATTGATGTTGTTATTTGATCTAATTGAAAAGGTATTATATTATTATAAAAGATCCACTTATTTTCATTTTGTAGTACTAAACATTAAAATATAAAAATTTTTTAAATCTAAAACTACTTATGCTTTTTTATTATATATTATTATTTTTTAACATACTTTATATATTAATATATTATTAACATTTCCTATAAACTTTCACTTTCAAATAGGAATCACCTAGCCTGAAAAATAATAAATACTATCTAAAATTTAAGTAGGCATCCTTTAACATACATTAGAATACATCAACTAGAATTTTCAATATACATCAACTAGATAAGTTAAGTAAAAATATTTTAGTTCACGCTTGTTTTTTGATCTTTTTTTTATTTAATCTAGTATTAGATTTTATCTTTACAAATTACATTTCTATTTTTGTGCATTACAACTATCTTACCATCATTTGAAGAATACTGTGTACTTGTTACTAAAATATTCATTAGTTTTCCAGTTGAATTGATTATATCAAGGTAATCAACAATTTGACCATACAAATATTCAAATCTTAATGTATAATTTACAACCACACTACCCATCCTAAAAAACATTTAAATATTGTCAAAAAAACTCTATTTAAGTATAAAGTTTTAAAATAAACACAACTCATCCTAAAAAGTTCTTTAAAGTAATAAAACAACTTTAACAAGTATGGTTTACTTGACTTAAACAAATCAAGTAAACCAGACAAGATAACTAAAGTCAAGTAAACCACACAAGAAGATGTAAATCAAGTAGTTGACTTAATAAACAAATAAACATTTTTGTTTTTATCTTTTTTATCATTAATAACAGTATTCTTATTTTTTATTACTCATTTATTCATGTGCCAAAAAAATTTATATATAAAAAATTGAAATGTTAAAAACATTAAACTAAACATAGAAAATAAGTAATTAAATAAAAATAACATACACAAGTTTGTTAACAAAAATATCAGTTAACCCTTTTAAACCTTGCTGAACAAAAAGAGCTCGAACCTAAAACAAAATATTTACAAAAATATTGTAACAAACTACTTGAAACTTTATTTGAAAAAAAATTTAAAGATATTAAGAACCTAAGATATAACAAGACTTAAATAAAAACATACAGAATCCTTGAAGTAGATTGTAAAATTTTGAGACTCATATGACATGACACTATACATTTTCCACGTCCATTTTTCTAAAGTTCTTTGTACCAAGTTTACTTCAACAGCTAAGTAATTGAATTATATATTATAACTAAAATAATAAAAAACTAGATATATAATTTTCAATGAACTTTTTGACATTTAAATATGATTTCCCTTGCATAACATTTAAAAAATAACAAATATTTTTTAATGTACCTATACAAGGAGTCATTAAACAATCTCTAGTTATTGTAAAATTTCCGCTGCATTCTTTACCGTTTATTGCTGGTACTGGATTGTTACAATGCCGCACTCTCTTAGAAGTTCCATTGTCACATGGTTTATCACAAATAGACCATTCAGTCCATTCTGAGAATCCACCATCAACTAAGAAGAAAAATTTTAAAAATCAATTTTTGAATTTTATTATTTTTTCACAACATATAAACATATTTATTATGTTTTTTACTTGGACAAGGAAAAGCACCACATTCAGGGCGTATATCTATCTGTGGTCCGTAACATGGTGTTCCTCTTCCTAATTGTGGTGGATTATTGCATGCTCTAGTTCGAATAAACACACCATAGCCGCAAGATGCATTACAACTTGAGTAAGGTCCCCAATCTGACCATCCACCATTAACTAAAATTTAACATCAAAGTTATATGTAACATCATTTAAATGCAATACTAAATAATTAAATTTAATATTGCATTTTAAAATGCTTGATATTAACAATTTTCTTTATTTTCTTGACATTTGAACAAATAAATTAAAATATGTTAATTTTTTGAGTTTTTAAAATGATTATTTCTAAAATTTCTAATTATAGTTTTGAAAAAAAAAAAAATGTTTAGGAAGAAAAACCAATAAAAAAATTTCTAATTATAGTTTTAGAAAAAAAAATGTTTAGGAAGAAAAACCAATAAAAAAAAATTCTAATTATAGTTTTGAAAAAAAAATGTTTAGGAAGAAAAACCAATAAAAAAAATTTCTAATTATAGTTTTAAAAAAAAAATGTTTAGGAAGAAAAACCAATAAAAAAAATTTCTAATTATAGTTTTGAAAAAAAAAATGTTTAGGAAGAAAAACCAATAAAAAAAAATTCTAATTATAGTTTTGAAAAAAAAAATGTTTAGGAAGAAAAACCAATAAAAAAAATTTCTAATTATAGTTTTGAAAAAAAAAATGTTTAGGAAGAAAAACCAATAAAAAAAATTTCTAATTATAGTTTTGAAAAAAAAAATGTTTAGGAAGAAAAACCAATAAAAAAAATTTCGATAAAAATGAGCTGATTTTTTTTTAAGTTTTTTTTAAATTAAAAAAAAACTTTATTTTAAAATACTACTAAATATTATTGAACAATATTTAGTAATATTTTAAAATAAATTTGACAACTAAGTTAAACCCAAACATTAACTGTAATTTTAATAAACTTAAATATATTTTTTAAATCAATATTAATATATATATATATTTTGAATCTAAATTACATTATATATATTTTTTTATCAGAATAAAATTACACATTTTTATTACATTAGTTTTAAACTAAACTATACATTTTTTATGAGAATTAAATTATATTATTTATAAAAATATTTATAAAAATTTTATTATTATTATTATGATATTTGCTTCAAGCTTAAAGTATTTGCTTTTTTCAAGCAAAAAAATCAATCATTATACTAAAACAAAAACAAAATTAAAATAATTTTGTAATTTTATTTAAGCTTTTATTAGTAAATAGTGGTTATATCTAACATAATTGTGATTCAAACTTTTGTAAAAAATATTTTTACATAATCATCATTCGAAAGTTAACATGGTTTTTTGAAACTTTTGAAAGAGCCACATTAACTTTCAAATTCTTACTTTTTTTATCTTATCACTTATTGAATAATATAAAATTTAAAAAGTGATAAAGTCGCTTAACCAAAATCGCTTACTGCTTATGTAAAATCGCTTAAGGCGTACGTGTATATATGAATATATGTATATATATATATATATATATATATATATTATATATATATATATATATATATATATATATATATATATATATATATATACATAATTTGATAAATGATTTTTTTTTAATTTATTACTGCTCTGTTGTTTTAAGTACATTGAGCATTCTATTTTGTAAAAAACATTTAAAATTATTTGTTAAAATTATAAAAATTGTTTAAAGTGTTTAAAAAAAACAACAACAACAATACATTGTAGAATAACTGTTTAGCTTGGCCAAAGGTTGTGTACATTTGTAATCATTAAACATTTGTAATCAAAAATGTTCAGCAATACTGTTATTAAACTTTTTCATTAAATTGAAAAGTTTGAAGTTGCCATATATTTAATGATTTTTGTCATCACTCTGATGAAGCTTGTGATGTTAAAAAGTAATACTTAAACACAAGATGTTACATGTGACAAAAACAGTTTTTGTGTTAAAACAAAAATATTTATAGCTTCTGCTGTTTTTGACTAATATGACATCAGCAGAACACTGGTTAGATACCATCAGCAGAACACTGGTTAGATACCATCAGCAAAACACTGGTTAGATACCATCAGCAGAACACTGGTTAGATACCATCAGCAGAACACTGGTTAGATATAGGAACTATGCATAATTATTTTTCTATCATAGGTTACCCTAAATATATCAAAATTTTTCTATTTTCATATTTCAAAAGAAATGTATTTTTCAAAAGTATGAAAAGTATGCATGCTAGAGTAATAACTATTATTATTGTTTTTTTGTATTGAAACTGAAACACCTTTCATTTAAGGAATAATTGTATGCTAATGACAGTAGCAAAATTATTTTAAAAAAATATTAAAAAAGTTCCTCCACCTTTTTACTTAATTTTGTTTCCAGATCACGCAGTTTGAATTATATATAGAGTTCACTATATATAATTATTTTATTATTGTTATATTTTATTTATTTCCTGTTTCAGGTGCAAATATGTAATATATATTCTGGAATATTTCGAAACATTGAGAAATATTTTTAAATTTTTGGATAAACTATCTTGTTTTTAGTACAAAATTGCAAGTCATTTATAATCACCTTTAAACTAAAATGTCTTATAGAAATTCCAGATACAGTGTATAGTCAAACAGGTGCATACAACAACAATAACAACAGCAACAACAACAATAATAAAAAGAATAATAACCACTATAAATAAAAACAATTATTTTAGGGAAAAACAAAAAATGCTTTCAACCCAAAATAGCTGTTTGAACAAAAGTTTCTTTAAAATAAACTACTTTTTTAGTTTTTTATATTTATAAAAATTTCAAAGGGTTGAAAAAACTCTTTAAGAAACTTATGCAAAAAATCGAAGTGTTGTAGGTAACAAAAATAATCAATATAATGCTTATTTAGCAATTTTTTTCTTATTAACTATTTAATTAATTATAACTTCTTTTAAGTTTTTATATTAAAAAAATAAAAATAATAAAATTTTGATATTTAAATATACCTGGGCACACTGGTACATCACATTGTTTTTTTTGAAAAGAGACACCACTGCAATTTCCATTGCATATTCTGGTCCTGATCATAACACTTGATTCTCCACATGTTTCAGAACAAAAACTCCATTCAAACCATTCACTAAACCCAATATCTCCTTAAAAAAATATAAAAAACTTATTTTAATAATAATATGATGGCATTATAAAAATAGTTATTTAAAAAATACAAAAAACAAATTACAAGTACTTTTTTATTTTTTTTAATAAAAAAATACTATTAATTTAACAACTTATAAATAAATTACTTATACCAATAAGTCACTTAATTCTATTTAAAACAATAAACTGTTAACCTTAGTAAGATTTAAGTACAGTGGTAGAACTATAACAAATCAAAAAAATAACTAGAAAAATAGAATAAAATAAAAAAATACTGTTAATACCTTTACTTATACAATAGCACAATCTATGCATTTTTTGCTGCATAAATTCACTGTCGCTCTTGCAAGGAAAATAAGTAGGTAAATTTACATAGCCCAAGCATGTTCCATCACTGTTGAAACTAGGATCTCGGCTAGAGCTATATACACTAAAAGTTGATGTATTTGAACATATAATAGGCGGAGAAGCATCCAAAAAAATAGAGGTGTCATTATAAAATTTTGGAAAATTATTTGAACAAAGTAATTGTTTTGCTTCGCAAATAGAATTGCAATCAGTAACACCTGCTTGGCCCAAAACAAAACCTTAAAAATAATTAACAAAAAATATAAAACTTGGCTTGTAGTTTATATAAAAACAACATTAACAAAAGCATAATAAGATAAAACAAAATACATTTATAATAAAAAACATACTTGAGCATCTTTGAAGTTGACAGGTTTCATTATCTAAGTTACTTCCAATACAAGGAGCTCTATCTATGGCTTTAATACATTGACGACTTCTTATTCTCATTCCTCCATTGCAAGACTGGCTGCATTCACTCCATATTGACCATGCAGACCAATTAGCATTCACTGTAAAAATAGTAATATTTAGCTTATTTATTAAATTATATTATATATCATTATATTATATATCATTGTATTATGTATCATTGCTAAAAAGGCTCTCCATCCTCATGATTTTTTAAATTACTTTTAAAAAAACAAATAAAAATTATTTTGGCTTTGTTAACTGTTAGTTTTAACTATTGTATATTATTTGATTGCTAACCAAGTGAAGCAAAAGATTCCTAAATAATTTTTTTGTTAGAAGAAAAGACCACAAGAGAAAAAAAAAGAGAAAAAACAAAAAAATAAAAAAGTAAAAACCATTATTATACAGCAGGGGTGGAGGGTACGTCTAGTACGTCTGTAGATGTACCCAAAAATAAAAATAAAATCTAAAAAAAAAAAAAATTAATTTAATATTTTATTATTGCGTATAAAAATAATTTTTTACTTAACCAAGTGAATTAAATTTAAGTTTTAATATCGTTATATAAACACGAAAAAAAAAAAAAATTGTTTGTTTCTTGTTTAGAGTAAACAAAGTTACTTCTTGATTAGAGCGGTTTTTCAAATATAAATAAAAATATCTTTTTTAACTGGAGATTAAAGTAATAATTAATAAATAATATTTAATTAGAAGGGTCAATGTACGTACCCAATATTATTTTATTAAACAAATAAAAACGTTTCTAAATTTTAATTTTTTTTGTTATAAAAGCAAGATATTAATTTTTTTACTTATAACATTTTTTGAACGCACCCAAAGTAGTACACTCTAAGTAAAATCTTTATTAAAATCCATTCTTTTGTGATAATCAGGAGGTGAAATACATTTTAATAATCAATACATGTCAAAATAAAACAATGGGCGTACCTAACATTATTTTTTTTCTATAATTGGGCTTTTATTTAGTTTAGTTTTCAATATTTAAATTTTAAGTAATTGATTAAATTTATGAAAAACACTTTTGGACGTACCTTCACACTTACACCCTGAAATATTTAAGGTTTATTGTGATATTTAAAATGTCTCTTAATGTTAGATGTTATAAGTGTAAGTCACTGAATCATACAATTGAAAATGCCAAGCTAAAAAATTGGCAAAGCAAGATTATTCTCTTTGAAAGGTATACTACAGAAAAATATAAATCCTTGTAAAGATACGAGTCTTGTCAACTCTTGTAAAGTTATTTAGTTTTCTTAAAAAATCAAGTGTTTGCAACATTTCTTAGTTAATTTTATACTGGTGATAAAATTCTTCAAGATCAACTAGATATTATCAAAAAAAATTGCTTCTTACATATCTAAAACACCATATCATCTGATAAAAAAGTGTTTTGGAGAAGTTATTAATGACAAAATAATTTAAAAATTTTGAACATTTCTTTTTTTACTGATGAAGCTTCTGACAGTTAAAGTAAAGAACAACTATTGTTAATTATATGTTTTCTTGATTCAAAGTACAATAAGAGAATTTATCGGTTTCTTAGAATGTACAAATGGTGTTACTAAGGATTGTAAGTAAGGATTATTTCAGATTCTTTTTTATATATCATAAATTGCAGAGTTCATTGATATGATGGTGCTAGAGCAATTGATAGTCAAACTAAAGATTTGTCCGTACCAGGCAACAAATGTTAGAGGAGCATATTGAAAATACCGTCCTGTTTGCTGTTAAAAAAACAATTTAAACGTTTTTGCAGAACACGTTGGGTGGAAAAAGTTAACTTTTGTTTTGGATACTTATCAGAAGTTTAATTTTTACGTGGCACTAAAAGGGCTTCATCATATCTTTTAGTGACTTATGAAACAGATCTACTGAACTCCTATGCTTTAACCTTGTGAGCTTCATTTATGCCAAGCCTTTTAGTTAAATTTTAAAAGGTGATTTCAATTTTAATATTATGAGTTCTTAAAAGTGATAAATTTTCCTGGTTGTAAAAACATTAAAAAATTTACTTGCTACTTTCCCATTAACTTCATGTGAATGTGAGTGGACATATTGTTCATTTTGGCGCCGGAAAAATTATATGTTAAGCACCATTGTACAGTGCCAAAGAATTATAGCACGGATTTGGTGTTATCGTTTTTTATATGCAAAATGCTGTTGTATTTGTTATATTGGCAAATGCTTTTGTTTTTTTAATTGATTTTTTTCAGATTTTATGTATTTATCAGCAAGAGTGAATAAAATGAAGATTTTAAAATTTCCTATTTTTAACAAAATGTGACATTAAGAATGTGTCTCTAAATTAAAAATGCATATTGTAATATAGAAATATTTTATTATAATTTGTGTTTTTTTATAATATACTTGTTACAATATAAATATAAAATTTTGCAACATGTCATTTATTTTATTAACTGTAATGTGAAAATATAGTTTTTAATAATAGATTTGTAAATATATATATATATATATATACATATATATATATATATATATATATATATATATATATATATATATATATATATATATATATATATATATATATATATATATATATATATATATATATATATATATATATATATATATATACATATAGCTGAATATTTTGAAATAAGAAAAAATTTTTTAGCAGAGATATTTTAAATTAGCAGGTAAAGCACATCTTACTAAGATAAAGTTACATGTATGAAAACTAATTAAAGGTAAGTTGCATTTAGGTATTAAAAAAAGACCAACAATATTTTTAAATATAGGGAAAGTAATTACAAAATAAAACTTTTTTTAGTACTGTTAAGTAATACAAGAAATGAAAATGAATATATAAATACATCTGATTTTAAAGTTATTTATGTTAATTACTATTTATATAAAAATATTTAAATTTTTAAATTATAAATTCCTAGCTAAATCTTTATTAAATATTGCAACATTTGGTGTGGCAACTTGCACAGCTTTAAAAAGAACTTTAAATGTTGTTTTAATTTGTATGTGTTTCAAAGAAAACAAACAATAAAAAAAAAATACACAGATAAAAATAAATTCTTACTTAATTGCCTTGAACTTGCAACAATAAAAATTTGTTTCCCACAGCCAATTTTATTGCAAGCTGCTACACTAATATTATGAGTGCTTGCCACATCAAGATTTGTAAAGTTAAACTCAAGTATCAAGCCATTGATTTGTTTAATGCAATAGTTTGTCCCAACTGTGTTGTTTTTGTACAGTTGTTTCCTGCAAATCTCATAACTAGTAATAGTTCCATAACTATTTTCTGTAGAAACTGGTAACCATTTTACTGTTATTGTTGTATAACTGTCTGTGCTATTAAATATGTTGGGTGGAGCATCAGGTACTAAAAAAAAAATTATAAAAATATGGCTTAAAATGAGATGAAAGTTCGCGTTAGAGGCAACAATTAAAATTGTTGTTGTTTACTTAAGTTGTAATCTTTCTTAAAGCCATAATATGAATTTCAATTAAAAGTTCAAATAATTTAAATACTCACTGATGATTTTATGCTTTAAAACTTTTATAAATAGTTAAGCTTCATAAAAAAATTTGTATAACTGAGTCAAAAACTGTATAACTTGTCAAAGTAAAAAACTATAAAAAATTATAAAATTAAATGTTATTTGTTGCCAGTGAACAGTGGAAATATTATTTAGGTGTGTGTGTGTTTGTGTGTGTGCAATATATATATATATATATATATATATATATATATATATATATATATATATATATATATATATATATTACGGCTGTTTCACTCAATATAAAAGCGAGCTTGACATCACAAGAATTTTTGCGTTTAAAAAAAAAAAAAGAATTTCCTTATAAAAAGTATAAAAATTCACTAACTTTAAATTAATAGTATTTTTTTCTATAAATGCTTTCATCTTTGAAAAAAAATAAATATAAAAGAACAATCTTTCTTCGTTAAGTAAATATTTGTTAAAATATTTTAAATGATTTTGGATCAATTTTCTGTTTTTGGCGATTTTTACGGAAAACCTGTCTTGGGCCAACCAAGACTCGCTATCATAGCTACATGGTTGATGGTTTAAATTTGGAACACTTATTAATGAATGTCTATTCTATCTGATTCCTACGTCATCCTGGTGATTTTTTTACTATAACTCAATTTTTAATGCATTTATACATTTAAATTTATCTCTTTTAAATGTAAAATATAATTTTAATGATGGATGACATAAGTTATTGAAATTTCGACCTATTATGCAGATGAAAATATAAAAATTATTTTATGTACCTATGTTAGCGAATATGTTTTCAAACTTGGCATGTTTAGCAACTTTTTCTAGTTTTTCGCGTAATTTTTGTTTACATTATTAAAGCAATGACGTAAGACGTTAAACTTTAAAACATTTTCTCCAATCTTTTTTTGTGATTTTATTTTATGACTTAATTATCTCTGTTTCAATTAACATAAAGTTTGAGTAATATTTTTTTTGTTTTTATAATAGTCTAATAATGTTTATAACTTGTTAATAAATATTAGAAATATATATTTTCAATTTTTTTGTTGATAAAAAGTAACAACAAATTACTAAAGTTCAGCTAATTTCATCATTTGTCCCGTTTTTTCTAAACTAAAAGAAGTTTTTTTACTACTATATTAAAGTCATACGATAAAACATTTTATTGTTATTTTTATTCCTTTTACATAACAAAATTATCTTTAATATTTCAAAAATTATAAATATTTTAGTAACACCCCTTACGTTAAAATTTTCAAAAAAAAACAAGAAGTTTATATATATATATATGTGTATATATACATGTGTATATCACATACACATATATATATACACATATAAATACACAATATATATATATATATATATATATATATATATATATATATATATATATATATATATATATATATATATATATATATATACACAATATATATATATATATACATATATATATATATATTAAATATTTAAATGAAAAAAATATGACTTTGTTTTCATTTAAATATTTAGTATATTTTGATCTATTTTATAAATATTGATCACTCTTAAACCGACAAAGAGCTGTATTAAATCCAACAGAATACAACACAACTCAATAATAATAATAATAATAATAATAATAATAATAATAATATATATATATATATATATATATATATATATATATACACATATATATATATATATATATATATATATATATATATATATATATATATATATATATAAATATATATATATACATATATATATATGTATGTATATATATATATATATATATATATATATATATATATATATATATATATATATATATATATATATATATATATATCACATACACATATATATCACAATACACATTGTCCTAGCTCATTTTGAGATAATCTATTTTAGGTAATTTATAAATCTTAATTTTCATTATTTTTCTCAAAATGAGTGATACCATAACTTTCATATACAAAATTTTTGTCATCTTGAAATTTTTAAAGATAATACTGTTGTATTATCTTTAAAAAAAATACATATTGTATATGTAAGATAATACTATTTTATTCAATTTAAAAAACATAAAAAACTCTTCTATTTACAAATTTTACACAAAAAAAGTTATTGTTTGAAAATTTAATAAAAGTTGAAATCGTTAATAAATTTGAATTAAGTTAAAACATTTTTTTTTGTAATGTTCTTTAAAAGTTTCTTTTAAAATTAATCTCTTTATAATAAATATAAGAGAAAGTAATATGTAGAGAAATTATGTAAAATATGTTGAGAAATAACAAATATAAAAGAAAGAAACATACTAGAGATTTATTAAGTAGAATTTTTAAATTCAAAAACCTTATTAAGACAATTTTTAGTTTGAAAACTTTATATTTTTTTATTACTGTAAAGACATTAACAGAATTGCAGCAATCACTAACTTTAGCAAGTAAATATCTTTGAGTATATTAAATATATTTCAAATATCAAAAACAAACAACAACAAAAAAAGAGTAAAACTTAATGCTTTTGTTATAAAACATCAGTTTAAGTTACATACATCAGCTGAGAGTTTGGGTTTGAGCTGTATATATATATACATAGGACATCTAATATATCATTATAAAAAAAAGAAAATTTCCAAATTTTCTTTCTGAAACAAATGTCAAAGTGAAAATCATAATTTTAAATTCAACTTAAAGTTCTTTAAAAATTTGTTTGTATAGTATATCCTATAAGATGTATATCCTATGATGCTTGAAAGACTAAAAAATTAATTTGCAAGTACAATACAACAATAAATAAACACGCTACATAAAAACACAAAAAAAAACAGACACAAACAAAACTCCAAAATTTTCTTACAGTCTTCATCAGTAAATGCACAACTTTGAGGGCTGTAAGGTCCTGTTCCATTTACATTTGAAGCAGCAACTTTACAACAAAGCTGTTCATTTTTGTTCAAACTTGATAACAATACTGTTGTGTCATTAATATTCTTAGTTATCAACATACTACCTTTACTTCGATTGCATTTTAAGATATAAATAATCTGCTTCAAATTAATATTAGCGCAACTTGAGTTAAGCTTACTCCATGAAACATTCATTGAAGTTGATGAAAGATTTTGCATTTGTAGAAGTGTAGGTTCACAACTTGGTACATCAGAGTATGTTTGGATAGTAACACTAGTTGACATATTACCACAACCTAATTCATTACAAGGTTGAATTGACACCTCATATTGTGTATAAGGGTGTAGGCCTACCAGATCTAAAACAAAGTCTGTTTTTTGGTTGAAGTATTTCACCAAATCATCTAAAGCACATTGATCTGAAGAAATAGAATATTTTTCTAAGGAATAATTAAGATAAACAGGTGCATAAAGATACTCATTAAATGGAAGACCAGGATTATAGTTTTTGTCTGTAACATTTATGTGAAAAAACCAATAAATGTTTGTTCCACGAAAAAAAGTTGGAAGGAAACTGCTGCTAATAAAAGAAGCACTACTTGAGCCAGAAACGTAATAACTTGAAATAAATGGCTTCATGCAGAGTGGTTCTAAAAATTTACTTTTCAATTAGTAAATTTAAAAATTCTTTTATAAAGATAAACAAAAAAATGTAATAGCTTTACAAAAAAAAAAAAATTAATCTTTAAACAATAAAATATGTACACTATGACAATGCAATACTTGAGGATGTCATTTATAAAACTAATGACATGAAAATTATAAACCTCATGACACTCATACTATAAAATAACTTTCTCTAATTCCGAACAGTGCCTAATTACTAACAGCATTAGTTTTCTTATTAGACCTTGTTTATTCTTGTGGGATTGGAAGACAAGGCTAATGAGAATATATAAAAATATTAAAAAATATATTCAATGATACTATGAAATTTTTAATTGCAAATAAAACACTTTTTAAAACCCTATAAAACTAACAATTAAAAATTTCATTATTTATCTGAAAAAAAAATTTCAAAAACTAGTGATACTTTGTAAGATTTTAAAAAACATAAATTAAAGAATTTAAAAAACAGTACTTTTTCTGCATAATTTAAACATTTCCTATATTCTGAATAGATATTGGAATACTTTTTTTTTAATTCAAAATTTGGCATTTTTACATGCAAGTAATTAACAAAAATTTTTAACAATATTTTAACATGAATACAAACTTAAAAACTAAAAAATGCTTTTAAGTTTTTTAATGAATTATTCAGCATCTTGTTTTCTTAACGTTTTTTAATACAAAAATGTCAAAAAAGAAAGAATTATTGTTGAACTTGTACAGTTTATGAGTTTGGCTTGAGTTTAAAAAGGAATGATATTTTAGTTGCAGTTAAAAAATATTTGAAATGATCTAAACAAAACTATTTAAGGCCAGTAAACCAAACTCAAAAGTGGTACTATGGTTTTATAAGAAAACATGCAAAAAAAAAAATTATGAAAGAAAGGCTACTGATATACAAGCTGTAAGAGCAGTGTCTTTGAAACCAGAAATTATTGATAAATGGATCACCCAAGTTGACGCTGTATATAGATGTTTTTATCAAGATTTTTGGGATAATTTAAATGAAAAGCCATTTCACGTGTTTAAATGTAATGAAAGTAGATTGAAATTCAATAAAGATAAAGTCAATATTATTTGTCAAAAACGATTAAAACACCAAATCAATTCTCCCTAACAACTGAAAAACAAATAGCTCTAATTTTAACTTGTTGTGATGCTTTTGGAAATTTTCTGCCACATTAAGTCATTTACAAAGATCAAAATTTGTAGAAAGCTTGGGTTCAAGGTAGAGTTTCTGATGTTTATTATTCTAACAGCAGATCAGGTTGGATGGAAAGCAAAAATTTCATAAAATAGTTTCATTATATTTTTTTAGTTCACGCAAACAAACTTTATGGATATTGTTTTTTCTGGAAAGTCAGGCGATTCACAAATTTTACTGGATAATACTATTGGAATAGTTTCAAAAAACTCTATGAATAAAATTTCAATAAAAGAAATCGTACCCAAAGAACGTATCAATAATGCCATTAAACAATCATCTTTCGACATTAATAATTCAGTACTCAGTATGCTTAGAGATATCAAGTCTTTTTCCAGTAGTAAAGAAAAGTGAACAATAGTTAAATAAACATCATGTATAATATAACTGCAATGGCTCACAATTAAGCTACGCAAGTTGCTAAAAAAAAAATTAGATAAAAAAGCAGCTTAAAAACTTTGGGGAAAAAAAACTAGGCACATCCATTCTGAAAGAACAAAGGTTTAAAAAAAAAAAAAAAAAAAAAGCTTTTAAAACAATAAAGATGTCTACTAGACAAAATATTTAGTGTTTTCCTGCCGCGAGCTAAAATATTTATCAGATCAATCATCTTTGTTATTGTTGCAGAAGACTTTTGGATTAAGTTACATTCTTGCAGAAGCCTTTTGGATTAAGTTACAAGCAGCAAATGTGTTGCATGTGAAAAGTGTTAAAACAGGGTGTATATTCCTTTTATTATCAGTTGTTACAAAAAAATTGAATTCACATGCAAGGACTGGGAATAACTTTTATAATTTTTATCTTTTGCAGCATGTTTCAAATCAATATTTTTTTGGGTACTACAACTTTTTCATTTTAGTTTTAAAAAAATTATTAAATCTGCACAGTACAGCTAAGATAGCCACCTTCAAATGAATGAAAACTGTGATACTATAATTGTGATATTTATTAGGGAAAAATATAATAATGAAGGGGTATAAAATAATAATTTTTAGGGAACAAAATTAAGGGGTTACTGAGCAATGTCCTTGAATTGCCTTGAAGAGTATTTTGCTACAAATAAGATTAACTGAAACTAAGATCAACTGAAACCCGAGATTTCTGCTAGTTAACAGTGGTAAACTAGCAGATACAGGGAATGGCAGTGAAGGTGAGTTTTTTTAAAACATATTTTTAACATATTATTTTAAAAAACATATTATTTTAAAAACAAACAGTTTTTTTTTGAAACTCCAAAAGAAAACAAAAAAAAATTTTTTTTGTTTTCTTTTGGAGTTTCAAAAAAAAATTTAATTTGAAACTCCAAAAAAAAAAAAGTTATTCAACTTTAAGTGCGATTTTGTTTGGAATTAGGGAAACTTAGAGAATGTCATTTATAAAAACATAAAAGTTGAAACTATTTCATTTATAAAACCAATGTTACAACAGTTTTTATTGTTTCATTATTTTGTTTTTCAATTGAGTTTTTTAATTCAATTATGTTGAGTTCAGTATTGACATTTAAAAGTCATTATCAATAATTTTAAATCTGAATGTTAAATATGCAGTTTTCATTTATAATTTTATAATTAAAAAATGATATTCAGGTGGTTGACTTATCATTTTACTAACACTAACCGTAACTTCTAGCTTTTTTAAAAAAATGCACTAAAAATTGTATAGAATGTACTGAATATACAATAAATGCTTAAATCTATATATTATATATCTATATACTTTGATGGCATAGCAATACTTGTAATTTACTTAGAAAAAAATTCATACAATAAAGACACTCTGAGAATTATTCATATATATATATATATATATATATATATATATATATATATATATATATATATATATATATATATATATATATATATATATATATATATATATATATATATTATATATATATATATATATATATATATATATATATATATATATATATATATATATACATATATATATATATATGAATAACTATATATACTATATATATATAACTATATATATAACTATATATATATATAATATATATATATATATATATATATATATATATATATATATGTATACATATATATATATATATATATATATATATATATATATATATATATATATATATATATATATATATATAACTATATATATACTATATATAACTATATATATATATATATATATATATATATATATATATATATATATATATATATATATATATATATATATATATATATATATAACTATATATATATATATATATATAAATATATATATATATATATATATATATATATATATATATATATATATATATATATATATAATGAGCAAAAAATCTTAACTTGAGCAGTTTAAAACTGTTGTATTAATAAAAAGTGAAGTTATTATTTATGCTTTATTACAAATTCAATTATCTTTATTAAAATACATCACAAATGAACACTTACAATTGTATATCTTAAAAAATTATGTGAAAAGAAATTTTAGGATATTTTACTTTATTCATGTTATGTGAGTAATTTGCACAGAGCCACTTTAATGAAAAAAATAAATAAAAACCATCTCTATAAAATCTAAATGTTAAATAATTTCATTTTAGAACTTATTTAGAACTTAATAGTTAAACTTTAGACTAAAGTGATAATTTCTAGTAAAACTTTCTTTTTTTACTTTAATATTATTTTTATATTAGTTTTTTTATTTTATGTAAATCAAATATTTAACTGAACTTTTTTTATAAATATTTAACAATCCTTAGTCTTTTAATAATTAAACTTATTAAATTCTATACAATAGTCTTAAATTTATGACTTCAGTTTCAGCAAGTTAATAAAGTACCTGTTAGATTATTTTGGATGCATGTTACACTTTCTGGACCAGCAGCAATTGAAAATGCAGTAATACTGGCTATATAAAAATAACATAAACTCACATTTTCTAAAACAAACTGGCAGGTTGATATATTTATTGTAGTAAAGTTTATGTTTTCAAGTACTGGGCTTGTTACTAAACCATAACTAAGCTGATAAAATCCTGGTGTTTTGTAGTCACCCCAAGCATCAATGGTATTCTGAAGACATTCCCAATTAAATTGAATTACAGTTTTATTAAAAAAAGCAGTAAAATATTTGGGAGCATTGTCAGGTGCTGAAATTACAAAAAAATAAACATTTTTAAAATCAGTATTACATTTCCTAACGTACTTAAAAAAAAAAATAGATTTAAGTAATAGCTTAAATCTATTTTTTTAAATTATAGCTTTTAAAACAAATTCAAAATTAAAAAACTTTTAGATTAAAATATTAGATTTATAAATATAAACCAATTTAACCAATTAAAAACTTTTTAATTATTAATCATTTTAGTAATAGCATTTCTTTATTCTTATATTTTCATAAAACATCTTAATTTCACGCACACACATATAAATGAACAAATGTGCATGTATAAACAAAATACAAAATATAAGTTATAAATACTTTTTAATAAAGTATGCATTATATAATAGTAATTAAATGCTTACCAGAAGGCATTGTGGTAACCATAATAAATATTTGCTTTCCACATCCTGCTGTATTACAGGCTGCTACACTAATGTTATAAGTACTTAATGCTCGCAAACTTGTCAAGTAAAACTCACAAATAGAGGAGTTTAATTGTTTAAAACAATAGATAGATCCAGTTGAACTATTCATATACAATTGTCTTCTGCAAATCTCATAGCTAGTTATTACCCCATGGCTATTTAATGGAAGAACCAAACTCCATGAAACTCTAATTGTTTTTCTATTTTCAGTGTAGTTAGTGTAAATAAAGGATGGTGCATCTGATACTAAATATTTAAATATTTATAATGCATAAATATTTAAAACACATATAAACTAAAACATATTTTATTCAAACAACATATGTTATGCATTTTATGCATTTTTAAATTAATAAACAGTTTGAATTTTTAAATGGTTTTAGGTTATTACCAGATTTTATTATTGACAATTGACATTAAAAACACAAATTAAAAACAGAAAAGAGTTTTAAAAAGTACTTTGATAATGCATTTAGATTTACTTCCATATTTTTCTACCAATTATCATAATAATACAGATTGACAGAATACAAAATAATTTAACAACTTTTCAATTTTATAATACTTATAATAATCAAAAGCAAAAACAAGCAACTACTAACTTGAAATATTTTGTCTACTTTTCTTTTTGAAAATTTTTGTTATATAAATTAAATATATTTTATAGTTCTTTGCAAATAAGAATTTCATGATGGCAAAATAAAATATTAACTACTTTGCATAAATTCTTTCAAATTAAAACTTTCTAACACACCCAAGGCAGCTACATTATCCTTGGCAACAATATTAGTTGAAAGATTTTGTAATCATGATTCACAACCAAATATAAATGAGAATATAAATGAAAATCAAGTCAAGATGATAGCAACAGCACCAAGATCACCATCTTTAGTGCAGCAATCAATATCTGAGGTGTTGCAGGTTGGGAATGCGTGTGGGAAGGCAAGCAATGACAGTTTTGTTCTTTCAAAATGTTTAGTTTGACTAAAACAAAACCAACAACAGTCCAAAATTTGTTAAATGCTTTGACATTGATGCAACCTACATCAACAGAAAGCAACAGAGAAACAAACAGAGAGTTTTTTCAATAGCCGGTATTTTCTGTACACAATTACGTTCTTCTATGAAATTTAATCTGTTGGATACACTAGTCTTTCTAAAATACTATTGAATTAAAAAATATGATTTTTAATTGAAAATTTTATTTTACTATAATGTGTGCTTTTTGAAATGCACTTCAAATTGTGATTTTTTTGGTTCTTGTTAAAAAAAATTATATTTGCTAAATTTTGATTTCTTAAACTTTTTTTGTTTTCTTTAATTTACAGATTCAACTTCAGCATATAATTTCAGTAGGTTACAAGGCTTTTTTTTTTTGTTTTCAGTAGGTTACAAGGCTTATTTTTTTGTTTTCAGTAGGTTACAAGATTTTTTATAACAATAATAAATATTTGCTTTTATTATAATAATAAAAAAAATATAGTATCAGTTAACCAATTTTACAATGAAAACAGGGATTTTGAAATTCTCTGGTTTTCCCTAGATAGTATCTATTTTTAATTGAAAAAAATGTTGTCAAAAAAGTAGGGTAAAGAAATTCATGAATTTCATTAAATGCATCGATCTTATGAAAAATGGTCCACATTATGGCAACATTAGACACTTCAAATTATGTTTGATCATTGTAGTGGAGTTTCTCAAAGACAGGTTGCAAATTTAAATGTATAAGTGAATAATTACACATAAAAAAAAAAAGGCAAAACATTAAATTATAAAAAAGATAGTTGCTTTAAATAAAAAAAAATAACAACACGTTACCCAAGAAAAAAGAACTCTCTGGTTTTGCATTTCTAATAAAGGGGCATCAAAATTGTGTTTACAGCAGTTTTGCAGTTAACCAAAAGCTTTACTTATAACATTGTATCAAAATTTATTTAAAAAATAATGACCAATTTTAGGTCTGACTTGAAATCACGACATTATGCCAGAACAGTAACACTGTACTTTAAAAAGAATTTAAGAAAAAAAGAATCTAAAATTTATGTGGCCAAAATTGATAAAATGCTAAACACCCCAGAATGTCAGTCAATTGAGGATTTTTGGAGTAATCTAAAAAAAATGGCAAGAATTACGCAAAGAATTGGCAGGTAAATAATCTGAAACAACTTTGTTTATGATAAATAGCAGACTTAAGAAAGTTGACAAGAACCTTACAGAAGACTTGGCCAATCAAAACCATATTCAAATTTGGACAACCGATAATAATGGACTGTTAGAAGTAATTTAATGTAAAAACTAATGAAAAAATAAATACTCTATACAAACACATTTCTGTTTGATTTGGAGCCTAAAAATTTTAATAAGGTTAACGTTTAAAATGTTAAAAAGGCGTTAATAGAAATTATTTTTATAATTAATTCAAACAAAATATTCAGATGAAAAAAACTAAATACTGAATACTGAATAAGTGGAAAAAAAAATTGAATATTTTTTTCTATAACATAATTCCTTAACATTTGGTGACAGTTTTAACCTAAAGTCTAAGTATTATATGTACTAAATCTTCTGCCCTACTTCAGGATGACATCACCAGTAATGTTTAATTTGTATCTAACTATGCAGTAAAACAATAATGACAAAAATACAAAGATCAAAATAAACCCAAGATAAAATTTTACAAAATCTCATCATTGAGTTTCATCAATGTGAAACAAACTATCAGGTTTTATCATTAAAAGTGAAAACTTGAACTTGTTCAAAACTTGCAATTATAAATATCTAGAGCTATATGATTTGTAATTTATAATTTATTTTATTTACCTAGAATCACTACACAATGTATATGCTGTCAAAGTGAAATTAATTACTATTAATTTCACTTGTAGTTTTCAAACTACTACAGCTTTCTATTTATTATATTATATTTATTATAGTATATTTATTTATTATATTTATTATATCTTGCATCAAACTACTACAGCTTTCTATTATATAATAAAAGATTCTAGTTTTCTTTCTGGCTTCAAATTTTTGACCTTACATTACTTTACATATGTAGTAAATTTATAATTTTATTTTTTATGTAGAATTTAATTCACTATGAGCATTAATTTATAATATCTTATATGTGCATAACCTTTAATGGTCACTGTATTAAAAGAAGTTTTGTAAGGTATGCATCTAAGCCATTGGACTGTGATATGACTGAGAAAATTATATTTAATAATTTAAAAACAAATAAATAAACTGTAGTGGACTTGGCCTTGAAAAGATGAAGGAATTGAAAAAAAGTATAAAATTATCAAAATAATTTCCAATTTATGATAAAAGTGATAAAACAATTTCCATATAACTTAAAAAAATCATATACCACTGCTATTGTTATAAACAAATACCCTTTTACTTTTGTGTACTCAGCTGTTGTGAGACAGCTGAGTGAGACTGTCATGGGAATGATAGCATTAAAAAAAGTACAAAACAAAATTTAAAATATTCAATGTTCAATAATACATTCAACCATCCATCAAGCAAAACAAATTTTATTGGATACAAAAGACTGGAATAAAGTATAAAAATGCTTGTGGTATTACAATCAACAAGATTTGCACTAAACTGTAGCATTAAACAATAGCATTCAAATGTGATAACATGTGGTATTCAACGGGTATAAAATATAAAAGTAAACTTCACTTATATTAAAAACAAAACTTTACATCTGGTAAAAACAGTTAGTTTTTTAGACTTCTTATTCTATGAAATTCTGAAAAGCTTATCTTATTATTTAATCAAATAATGATTAATTATCTTACTACTTAATCAAATAATGATAGTTTTGTAAATTTGTTAATTTGAAATTTTATTTTTGTTGTTTAGTAATAAATAAATACAATATCTAGGTATTTATGAGAATTTACAGATTTTATCAAACTTGATTGATTTTAGGTGCAGAACTTGCAACTTATACAAGAGATTTTGCACAATAGGTCTACCTAAAAACAATGCTCAAATAGGGTGGTCCAAACACTGACCCTTGTGGAACTCCACAAGAGTCAGTGTTTGGACCATTCATATGCGGTAGTGGTGTAGTGGTAGAGGGCTTGCTTCATAAACGAGTGGTTACAAGTTCGATCCTCACCACGCCCCTGGTAGTACCGCGCTCAATTAGTTTCTACGCGCAGCGGCCTTGTTCGCCAAGGTTCGTGTTTCGGAGTTATAGAGTTGAGAGAGGATTATAACCACAAATAAGTAGCCTCCTCGTCTGTAGTGGCCTTCTCGACCTTGAGGAGGTGAATTAAAAAAAAAAAAAAAAAAAAGTGATATTGGTCCAGGGGACAGAAGACAGAGAAACAATGGAAACAACCACCTTTTGAGAGTGGTGATATAAATAGGATTCATTTTAAATTCATGTTAAAGCAGAATCCAGTAATTTAAACTTATCTTTAGCTGCAAGTAGGACAACTAGATGAGAGATTTTATCAAACACACCTGAAACTAAGAGTTTATTTAAGGGCCAAATAACGACCATTAGCAGAGCATTAATTGTACAATTATAAGGACCAAACACAAAAAGCAAGTTGAGAAAGATTTAATTTTTTACGATGGGAAAGAATTAACTACTGCTTGAGTGCAATCTTCTCCAAAATCTTTGCAGTGCTGCAAACAAGTGAGATAAGACAAACTTTTTTTTTGGTATCTGAATTACAAAAGACAGTAGACAAATTGACAGTTTTATTGGCTTGATAGACTGGAGCAGAATATTGTTGAAAACCCCATTGCATTTGCTTGAATCATTGTTTGCTTTTTTACAAAACTCTTCAGGCCTAAGTCTTTGTGGATAAGTCTTTGCACCAATCATTCAATTTCAAAGCAAATAGGCGATGACGTTTGTCAGACGAGATAAACTAGTTATGAGTGATCCTTATCAAAACACCAGTAATAATAGACATGACTCTGAGGAGATGTTTATTACTTAATCACTACACAAGTCGTGTTTACACATCAGCATTAATGTTTTTTTTATCTCCTTCAAAAATTATTTATTTTCAAAATGTTGATTTAAGTCCCAATGTGCTTTACCTAACTTCTAAAGTATTAAAACTATGTGACTATATTCAACTTTTAAACTGATTTATCTGGAACGATCAACACAATAACCTACCTTTAACTTTCATTAATTTTTTTTCCAAAAGTGCTAACACTCGTTATCACCTTTGTTCCAAATTAAACCTGTCTGTCCCTAAACACTGCTCTCATAATTACAGACATAAATCTATAAAATATCAATCCATAAAAACTTCCTAAAAACAACCCTCGTTATGAACTAAAAGCTCTCAATTCATTCTTAACCTTTAAAACCAATTTATTTTCTATAATCAATTTTTGTTGACTTTAGTTTGCTTATTATTATTGTTATTAATAAAACATGTTTGATATTTCTAATTTCTATAATAATTTTTGTTGTCATCACTATTGCTTATTGTTATTTTTATAAATATTTACATTACTATTATTAACTATTTTTAACTCTTGTTACTAATATTAATATTGTTACTATTATTATTATAGTAATTATTATTATTGTTATAATTAATGTATTGTTATTATAATAATAATTATTTTTATTACTGTCATTATTGTTGTTGTTATATTTATTGTTGTTATATTATTATAGTATAACTTTTTATAACTACTACTATTATTATATTTATTGTTGTTATTACCACTGTTTTTATTATTATTGAATTTGACAGGTGTTTACTTCATATTAGCACTTATTACTATTTGTAAATCCTTGATGCAACTTTTATTCAGAAATAAATTTGATTTGATTTGAGCAATGTTTTGATTTGAAATAATTTTACTTAACTTTACTTTAACCAATAATTAAAGCAGAAAAATGTCTCCTTGATACTTGTAAAGGAAAAAAAACAACATATTTTTGAATAAATTAAACATCTACAATGGTTCAAGCAAAAAACTGGTTCCTAATTACAAAATGGTCAAAATATATTATCATGGTAAGTTAACAAAAATAGTTGTCATTAAACAAAAAATAAACTGCATTGTAATAGTAAGATAATATTTATATATAGAATATAAAATACATCATTTGTAGAAAAATAATATTTATTGTATTTCAAAAAATTTATTATAAAATACAGTTCAAAGTTAATATATATATAAAAGTGATCCAGCCGCCCTTATGTGCTCTGATAAAACCTGGCTGGGGAGGGGGGTGAGGTTCATATTAAATAGTAAGAATCTAAATATTTAAGAAAATTGGACATTTTATGATAGATTTCAATTAGTGGTCGCAGATTTCAGAGTTTCAAGATTGACACAAATTTTTAAAATTTGTACATAATCCAGAGAACCTTGTAATAACCAGCTTGAACCTAATTGAATAATAATTGAAATAATATATAAATTAATGTTTTTCTTTCCTTATATTATTCTTACAGAAAATCTGAAAAAATAATTCTTTTAATAAAATAAAAGTTAAAAAGTTTGCTCCAAAATTTTTTTTTTTTTTAACTTGAACTGTTTTTTAGACATTTTACAGGCACACTAATAACTTAATAAAAATTTCGAGATATTTCATACTAGAAACTTCTGAAACTGACAAAGATATACAAGGATCTAGGCTAACAACTGTTCATCAGGTGCTTTTATGTTATCTTGCAATGCTTTAACATAAAAACATAAAAACTGCAAGTGAAAGAGTTAAATTAACTCATATGAATCAGTTAAATGAAAATTGAGCAAGAATACAAATAATTAAACAAAATAAAATGGCCAAGGAAACCATGACATTAATTAATGAGTTAAAAAACCTGCTAAAACCGACCATAGGACACAGGTTTACAAATACATTGAGGTTCTGACCATGAGATGTGCTAGATTAAATAGTTGATGCAAAAGATAAATAGTTTCTGATCAGCATGATGACTGATAGGAAGGCATCCATGGGCTAAGTTGATCTTAATCGGAGCCTTGTGAAAAAAAAGTACCATGATAGAAAAGTTGCTATTTAATGTCTTTATTTTTATGTAGCTAAGCAACATACTTACAAAAGGATCTTAAAAACTTGCACAACATAATATTCTAAAATCACCCAAAGTTATTGAGATGACATAATAATAAATAATCTTATATGGGGAACTAAGAGACTAAGGTGTATTTAATTAAAATTTAAATCAAAAAGTTTTCCAAAAGATTTATATAAACAATTATTCAAATCTTTAAGTTATAAAGCTTTGAAAAGTTCTTTAGAAAAAAAATTTATTTTTATTTAATACTTAAAATTAAACTAGCATTAGTAATATAAGCTATAAAATGCATTGTTTGGTTTTTAGATTTAAAAAAAACTTTGAGCATCTAATTTTTCAAACTACTGAAGACCTTGACATCCCTCAAATTTCACAATTATGATAAACATAAAAAATGTTATTACCTGTCTTTGCCAAGAAGCAATGAGTCAAAATTTCAACAGAGGTGATTATAGAGAACTCATTCAATTAACATTGTTGTATCTAAGTAATGGGCAAAATGTGGTTTTTCTCAGAATTTAATAGACCAGGTGCTTTGCACAATTCAAGGTGGATGTCAAAATTGTCATACTCTATAAAACTTGTACTGTTAAAAAAGAAAATTAACCTGCTATCTAATGGAACAGTTTTTGCTAGACAACCACTTACTAAGCTATAAATGATTGTTCAGTTTGTTGCATTCTGTTATACTCCGTGGTTGATATGTGCATCTATATCTTCAGCAGCTCCTATTAACAACTTAAATCTTACTAATCTATTTTTAAAGTATAAAGTTATTGCCTCAACTATTGCTAATGCTGTTCAGTGAGCTTTTAGCAATTGCATGTGGTACCTCAATGGAGAGTTGGCTTTGCTGTCTCTCTATAATAACAACTTAGATGAGAAAAATAGGCAAAAGATTGCAAATAAAATACCATCACTAAAAATTATTAACAAATGGGATAACTACAAAAGGAAAAGGGTTGAGGTATGGTAAACCTATATTTCCAATTTAGTTTTTTATATTGTACACTTATTTGATTTTCTTGTACTGTACACATATTTTATTAATAATATAACATCAGCTTTATTTTAAAATTTGAATTTACTTTATTTTTTTTAAATTTAATGTTAAAACTTTTGAAATACTATGTTTAAAGTACAAGATGTATTTGAATTTAATTTATCATAATTAGTTTTTAGAATGGTTTACAACATATTTCAAATCATTCGAAAAATATGCTAAACTCTGACTGATTACTTTAGTGGACTTAAGACCAAATGAGTTTAATTGAAGTAGTTTTTAACAGGGACACCATTTCAGCAAAACAAAGGATCTAACTGAGTAACTAAAAAAAAATCCTAAAGTTGTGTAAAATAGGTGACCGCATCCCCTCTTCTGTCAGCCCTCCCCAAATAGCATATCTCGCTTTTATCTTTTTATACAAAAAAGGCTTCTTCAAATCAGAACTAAGTAAAAAAATATATCCTAGGTTGTCACTAGATTTGTCTTTGATTTGTATACTGAAAATTGGAAAACTTAAATTTTTCTCCTAAATGGTATACTTTAATTTAAATCTGCTGCCACTAAACATTGTCTAATTAAGCTCAAATTTTGCCCAGTTTTCAGTTATAAATAACCTCCTCACTAAAAAAATGTCAGACTTGTTTACTCAAAAAATTAAAAAATTATGGGATGGTTTGTTATTATTATTAAGACAGGTCCTAATATTATCAAAAAAAATAGTTCTTTAAAAATATATCATGTTGGGTCTCAAAAGAAGCAAAATTAAATAAAATTTTTAAAAATGATCATTATTTCATAAAAAACATTCAGAAAAAACAAAAATTTAATAATTTTTTTTTTGTAAAAATGCATATTTTTATTTTTAGTTAAAAATATTTTTAAGTAGTGAAATTTAAAATAATAATAATTTTACATTACATTATACAATACATTTATAAAATTATAATAATTTTTGAAATTTTTATAAAATTTTGCTTATTTTAAACCCAATATAATACACTTTTGAAGAACTTTTTTTTTTAAATAATAATAGGGACCCATCTGATTATTTTATTATATAGAACACATTTAGAGGGTGTAGGCATACATATTTTAAAAAAGTTGTTTTTTGGGACACCCTAATATATATATATATATATATATATATATATATATATATATATATATATATATATATATATATATATATATATATATATATATATATATATATATATATATATATATATATATATAAAGAAAAACCCATATAGAATAAAAATTTTATTCTTACTGTCTTCATTAGTAAATGCACAACTCTGAGAGCTATGAGGCCCAGTGCCATTTATATTAGAAGCAGCAACTTCACAACAAAGCTGTTCATACTTGTTTAAACTTGTTAACAGTATTGTTGTGACATTAATTAACTCATTTATTAATAAACTTCCCTGACTTCTATGGCATATTAAAGTATAACTAATCTGCTTTAAATCAATATTTGCACAACTTAAGTTAAGCCCATTCCATGAAATGTTCATTGAAGTTGATGAAAGGTTTTGCATTTGTAGAAGTGTAGGCTCACAACTTGGTACATCAGAGTATGTTTGAATTGTAACACTATTTGATAAATTACCACAACCTAATTTATTGCAAAGTTGAATTGACACCTCATATTGTGTATAAGGGTGTAAACCTACCAGATCTAAAATAAAGTCTATTTTTTGGTTGAAATATTTCTTTATATTGTCCCAGTTGCATTGATCTGAATGACCTGAATATTTATCTAAGTAGTTAATAAGATAAATGGGTTTACGAAGATACTCATCAGGTGGAGGACCAGGGTTGTAGTTTTTGTCTGTAACATTTATATTAAACAACCAGTAGATATTATTTCCACGAAAATAGTTTGGCAAAACATTTTTGGTAATAAAAGAAGCATTGGCTGAACCAGAGACATGAAAACTTTCAATAAATGGTATCATGCAAAACGGCACTAAAAATATTATATATATACATATTCATATACATAAATATATATATATATATATATATATATATATATATATATATATATATATATATATATACATATATATATATATATATATATATATATATATATATATATATATATATATATATATAACGGGTGTTCACTTGAAATCCGGACTGACTTTAAGTCAATATAAATCTGACATAATGTATTGCAATTGTACCATGTGATACATTATTTTAAAGCGTTTAAATTTAACTTTAATATGCTACATTTATATTTAGATTGAATGATTATTCAAATTGAAAATGAAACCTAAACAAGACGACACTCGAAACGTGTGTACAACTTCTATATTGAAAATAAAGAAAAAGGCAAAAGTACACCGTAGATCATTTTGAAAAAGAAAAAATTGCCAGATTGACCATCTATGATATAATTAAACATGCTGATGACGATTCTGGATATCTTAGACGTCCTTAGGTTCAGGAAAAAAAGCTCTAAAGATGACCCAAAAAAAAGTACCAGCGTTAAAATCAATGTTTGATCATCATGATGGCATTTCTTATAGGAAAGCAGGTAGAAAATTTAGAATATCAGCTTTTTATGCCCATAAAATTATTCAGACAAAATCAAAGATCAAGAAAAGAAAGAAGAAAAAGATTCCACATCGAACTGATGATCAAAAACTGATGGCAAAAACAAAGTGTGGTAGATTATATCGAGCTTTTAGCAAATTTGATTGGATCATTGATGATGAATCTTATTTTACTCTTTTTCATTCATCAATCAACGGAAACGATAACTTCTACACAAGTGACATAAACCTCTGCCCATCTAGTGTCAAATATTATACAAAGCAAAAGTATGAACCCAAGCTCCTGGTCTGGGTAGCCTTTTCTGTAAAAGGAATGTCAAAAATTCTAATCCGTCAAAGTGGTCTTGCAATCAATCAAAAAATCTACTTAGAAGATTGTATTAAGAAACGTCTTATTCCTTTTATTAAAGAGCATCATCAAGACAGTCAATTCGTATTTTGGCCAGATCTGCCAACGTCTCATTATGCTCAATCTGTTCAAGCTTATTTAAATGGACAAAACGTCAGATTTGTACCAAAGAAGATAACCCTGCAAATGTACCAGAAGCAAGACCTATTGAGGATTTTTGGTCAAAAATAAAAGGTTTAGTTTACAAGGATAATTGGCAAGCAGAAAATTTAGAACAACTAAGGAAAAGGATAGTGTATTGCTTCAGCAAAGTTGATATCAATCTTGTACAAGAGTTTGCAAAGGGTATTTTATCAAGAATTGATTTTATAAGAAGAAAAAATTTAATTGAAAATAAATAAAGTATCATATTATAGAGAATTAAATGCTGATTTTAAATCATATTTAATTTTTTTAAGTTGATTAAAAATAAGGGAGTTATGACCCTTTAAAGTCAGTCCGGATTTCAAGTGAGTGCCTCTAAAAACAACTTTTTTTGAAACTGTCTGCTTCTACCCCCTAAATGTGTTCTATGTAATAAATTAACACTAAATTAAAATATTTTTTGAATATATTTTTTAAAAATAATAAAAACAATTTATGGAAACACAAATTAAAAAAGTTTATTAAAAAAAACTTTAAAAAATATGTACTTTTTATTTTTTGCTAAAAAATGATAGTTTTGAAGTCATAAAATTTAAACAAGTAATCTTCATATAAAATAAAATTTTTAAAATTTTTATAAAATTTCACTTCTTTTGAGACCCAACATAATATACTTTTGAAAAACTTTTTTTTTCTAAATATTAGGGACCTGTTTGATGTTTAAGGGTTTTGAGCGACCCCTAAAAATTTTTTCTAATTTAGTATTATTTTATTACATAGAACAAATTTAGGGGGACGCAGCAGACAATTTCAAAAAAAATTGTTTTTAGAGACACTCTAATATATATATATATATATATATATATATATATATATATATATATATATATATATATATATATATATATATATATATATATATACAAAATAGATAATGTATTATTATGGTATAATAATAAGAAATACAAATACTCTTGTGCGTTTAAGAGTGCTCAATACTATTAAATAATAGAGCAACATTTATTTATTTATATTAAATGAATAAAAACAACTTTTGATGGAACTCTGAGTTTCATGCCTTTCAGAAATCATCAGCCATTGTGTATTTCGTCACTTAAAAACGGTTTAAAAATTTCAAATTAAAATTACGGTGGAACGAGTTCTGACGTTACAAAAACAAAACAAAAAGACATCAAAGGTTTTAGCCCCCAGTATCGAATAAGGATAGTAAAATTTTTTTTTGAATGCCGGCACTTTGATATTATTTCATATCTTTTATCAAGTAAGTTTTCTCCTTTCTATGATCATATGTGAAATTTCTCGCAGAGACAAAGATTACAAACTTTTGATGCTTGATTGTAGGTCTTACATTGTGCAATTATCTTCCATGTAATCACAGGATTTATATGTTTTGATTTTAGCTCCCATATTTAAACTTTATAAAAAAGGCATTTATTTCTGCTTGCTTTTAGATATTTCTTGGCTTTTACTTAACAACATAAAAAGACCACATATCTTAATTTATTAGGTTCTTTTTAAAATCAGTTGTAACAGCAGGCACTAGGGAAGGAAAGCCAAGTATAGCTTGCTATTACCTGAGAAAAAAAGAAATAAAAAAAAATTATCCTAATAAATGAAAATACTTGGCTAATATAACAGCCAATATCTCTACTCACACTGCATGTCATATTTAGTTAGTTAGCATCCTAGCTCTATACAATAGTAACTATACTATCGAGTAGATTATATCTCCAATTTATTGGTACTTTTATGTTGTTTCAGCTCTCTCAACATTATGATAAAAATAATTTTGGCGCACATTTGTCATTGTTTTTGTTAAATTTTTTTTCCATTAAAATCTGGTGTTGATTAGTAAAAAAGTAATCATGAATAAAATTC